ATAAGGGGAATAATGTTCCTCAGTTATTTTTAACTTGTATTTGTATATACATATCATAGTTTGGAAAGGATACATATGTTAAATTTCTTCTGGTGTCTTCTTGCTTCTCCTATAATTTCTCTTTCTGTTCCCAAATCTTCCTCTAGCAGTTGTTGTTTTGCCTCTCCCTGTTTTTAATGTTGTTGTTATTTAGGGTTCCATTAACAGGGCTTTAGTTGTCACCTAAATGGTGATAGTCTAATCTCTCCACACTTCACCACTCTGATCGCTGGGCAAGTAATATTCCCCTTGTATATCATATGGTACCTCAATGCCTTAGGTATGGAAATAAACTATGCACATTTGCTCTACAATTTGCTTCTTCTTTTCTGTCTCTATTTCACGATCCATTCCATCTCCCAAGCCAGATACTCAAGTCATTTTAGATTGATCCTTTTTTTAAAATAAGTAATATTTCCTTTATATTGCCAGTTTTATTTCCCAATATGTCCCAATAATATTTAGGTTTTTTCCTCTCTATGCTATAGCTGTACCCTAATTTAAATCTTATATCCTTTCCTCCCTCAACTCCTTTCATCCTCTACATTTCTGCTGGAGAGATCTTTGAAAATGTAAATCTGTATTTTTTTTAACTTGTTAAAATTCTCAAGAATGAGTGATGGCTATAGAGAATTTATTATGTGTACCACATCATTTATAAAACAAAATTCTAAAGATATTTCAAAAGGTATCAGTAAAATATTACATTTAAAAAGGGACACAGAAGCATTTTAATATACTTGATACAATTATAAGGTTGCCTAAGGCTAACCTATCTTGAATTAGAGTGTCATGATGAGCAACAGAAAGATATCCATAGAAACAGCATCAGGGAAGTTCAAGAGAAAGCCTCTAACTGATAGGCAGAGTCTAGGGATGGGGACTAGGCAATATGGGCCACCAGGAAGGTTGTCAGCAGGTAGCTGGCTTTCCTCCCACACCATGAAAAACTGGCAGGAGCAAGTCACGGCCCAGCCTTAGAGAACCCAAACTGGGTTAAGGGTCAGATGTGGATTCCTATAAGCTAGCACAGGATAAAAACTGGCCTTGGTAGCAGGTCTGACTTGTTTATGAGTCTCAATGGGTTTTAAACTAGAATTCAGTTCCCCACCCTGGAGCCTGGGGGAAGAATGTGCATATGGAAATCAAGATAATGAACAAATATTTATTAAGTACCTACTCTGTGCCAGGGACTGTACTAAGTAAGTACTCGGAATACAGTAGAGACAATCCAGATACAAACTCCTGGGCCACAGTGCTTACTGTCTAATGATAAAAACCGACATTAAACCAATGAGTGCTACTGAAAAGATGTGTAGGGTGCTAAGAAAGTAGCATAAAGACTGTTGGAGCAGGAGACCCAGACAGGGCATTATAGAAAAATCAAAAGTAGAGCAAACATGCTTAGCACTAGGGACCTTATTGAGGGAGTGGATTTTCTGCCATCAGAGGACATCAGAGCAGAAGCTGAGAGAGGGCTGGAGCTGGGCATGGGGCATGGCTGTAGATTCCGTGGGAATGCTTGATCATATGGGGCTGAAGAGCTCTCTGCTGATCTGGCTGGTTCAGCCCTGGGTGGACAAGATCTTCCCCAGGACAATATATGACATTGAGAATTGCTCTATTGGATTATGTTTGATGGGGTCTCAGTTACTGTGCTCATGAACAAGCTGTCATTTAAAAGTTTTTTCTTGGCCTGGCCAGTATGGCTCAGTGGTTGAGCATCGACCTAAGAACCAGGAGGTCACAGTTCAATTCCCATTCAGGGCACATGCCCGGGTTGCAGGCTCGATCCCCAGTATAGGGTGTGCAGGAAATGCTCTATTGGATTATGTTTGATGGGGTCTCAGTTACTGTGCTCATGAACAAGCTGTCATTTAAAAGTTTTTTCTTGGCCTGGCCAGTATGGCTCAGTGGTTGAGCATCGACCTAAGAACCAGGAGGTCACAGTTCAATTCCCATTCAGGGCACATGCCCGGGTTGCAGGCTCGATCCCCAGTGTAGGGTGTGCAGGAAGCAGCCAATCAACAATTCTCTCTCATAATTGATGTTTCTCTCTCCCTTCCTCTCTGAAATCAATAAATAAATATTAAATTTTTTTCCTCTTTTACTAATGCTTCTTCTCAGCACTGTGGCGATCATATTTGCAAATAATCAGCGAGGGTCAGCCTACTGGACTGTCCAGTTGAGAAATCTGTCCTTTTTCATCTTTAATATGTAACTTGGGCTCTTATAGCCTCAGGCATCCCTAACACATGTATAATTCTCTAGAATTATAAATAAGTTGTATTCAACGCCAATTAACATCATCATCAAAAATATTGAGAATGGCACACATCTCATGCACGCAGCAAGCACTGACTGTACAAAGTACTCTCAACTGGAATCCACCCAGCTCAAATGACTTCATGCAGAGAAAATAAATACCAGTGAGCAGGCTGCTTGATCTGGGTAGAGTAGATTTTTTTCCTTTTTCTTTCTCCAGCAGCCCTCAGCATGAAATATTTGTTATAATGAAAAGTGTACAGGACTTGGTATATTTTTTCTATGCCACTCTTGATTTTGAAAGTCAACCAGTCCAAGTCAGATCACCTAGCATTTTTATGTTAGAGATAGTAGCCCTGTCCCTTTGCCTTCCTCCGGAGGGAAAAGATGAAATGTGATATGCAGTCATTTGTACTGAGCACGTTCCTGCTGAAAGGCCTTTCTTTGTGAGGTACTTTGAGTCTCCGAGAAAGGTATTCATTGTTTGTCTCTACTATTTGAAGATGACCTCACCGATAGAGTTGTATCCCCAAGTGACTGAAATGACTGTGGTCTGGGAGGCGTGGGGAAGGCTTTTCTGTGGTTTGGGGTGAGGGCCTGTTTGCAGGGCCTGGCATTTGTAGAGCCACCTTTCTTCAGGCTGCTTGTCAAGATGAGTTGGCTCAGATCTGTTAGCTGCACACCAGGTTCCTCTGTTGGCGGGTGTTCTATTCCAGAATTCCATAGTTATCAAGAAATGGACTATGTCAACACAAGGTTTTATTGTGTTTCGAGGCACTTTGGGGCCTCTGACAGCTGCTCTCACTTTTTTAGAGCAAACTGCTGCTGAAGGTTTGGCAAAGGTTAATTTTTAAATGGATTCTGAGCTGCTATATGTGGCATCTCCCTTGGTATTTGAATCATTCAGCACATAACCCCATCGTTAGATCACTTTTTTTTTTTGGATGAAATTTTTGTTGGTCACCTTTAAAGCTGCATCAATCACTTGGTAATGGAAAAAAAGTCAATGTAATGATCTGCTTTGAAAATAAACAGTATAACTTGACTTTGGCATCGAGAGCCTATTATCATGTGGTAACATCATTCTGTTCCAATGACATTATCTGCTAAGGATATTATGATGGTGGAAAATATTTCAATTTTGTTATCGAAACAATGAAGTTGTGATATTTAATTATGGAGAAGAATGTTTAATTTGGGGAATCTGGTATGTCAACTGTCACAGTTTACTCATCAGAAGACTGGGCGATGCTAATCAAATTGGAACAGAATATTATGTAGTGACCCACCCATGTTATTGATTCAACATTTTTCCTCATTTTCCTAAGTTTTAGCCATTGAAATTTGAGTTTTTCCATTAATTTTGCTGATTAACAAATAAATTATTGAGCTCAACTGATGCACTGAAGTAGTAAGAAGTAGAAAGGGGATAGGAAATGGAGAACAGCATCTGCGGTCAGTTTTTGTTTTGGGGGGATGTGAAACCTGTATGAATGACACAGTAAGAAAAGTATTTCCAAGTTGAAATGTTAAACTAGGGGAAGTGCATTCTCTCTCTTTCTCTTCTCTCTCTCTCTCTCTCTCTCTCTCTCTCTCTCTCTCTCCTCTACACACACACACACACACACACAGTGTGTTGAGGAAATTTAAAATAAAAATGAATAGTCCCATGATTACAATGCTTAGACTATTATGTGATGAATAAAGCTTGTCCTTAAAATGTTAGGGAAGGTGACACTGGGATAAGATTAAAAAGGCAATATAGGCTACTTTCTATTGTACAGTAACTTACTTTATTGCTGACAATCAGTTGTGCCATCCTAACTTCATACATGGTCTTCAGTTACAGCCATTAGCTAGCCAAGAAACAGGTGAGCCCCTTTTGCTTAGTAGCTACTATGGGTCAGACATCCTGCCTGATCCAAAGAGAATGTGGAAATGGATAAGACACATGTTGTCCTCTAGGAGCATTCCATCTCATGGAAGACAGACACAACAAAACTATGCTTGGTGTTTACATGGGTCAGGGATGGGAAAGAGGCCACTAAAAGTGAGGAAAGGGTCAGAAGACTACACCATACTTAACCCAGGCTCAGTGGTACATTAGCAAGAACTGGTTAATCAGAAAAACAGAAAACCTACAATTCCTGAGCTGGAGGAAACTGAAAAAGCATAGGGTATACCCTAATTTGACAGTGAAGCAAGGTGGTGGCAGAGCTCGGACCCGAGTCCATTCTCCTGACCAGTGTTTTATCTGCTACATAACACTCTTTCCAAAGTTCTATTTCCAGTTTGGGATTAAGGAGTTTGGGATTCTACTGTGAAAGGAGTTGCAGAGTGAGACTTGGTCTACCTCACAGTTCCCTTGGTCACAAGTCCCTGTGTGAAATCTTTATCTCCTTTTCCTTTATCTGAAGGGAAAGGATAGAGGGGGTAACCTGACTAATGGCAGGCTGTTTCTGCAGCTGGGCCAGAGATGCTCAGGACTCTGGTTTTGGCTGCTGAAACTTTCTGAGTCATTACTTGGAGTGCCCCCAGATTCACAAAAGTGCCGCAGGGACCACGAAGCAGAGCCTTTGTATATACGGAGGTTGGGAAGAGTATCTGGGCTGTATTGAGTGCTACCACCAAATTCACATGGGAGTTGTGTCTCCAACAGAATATAAGAAAACTAAAGCGCCTTTTGTTTCTGGCAGGGGGCCACGATCAGCCTCAAGTCTGGTGACAGTAAACTGTGAAGAAAAGTAGCCTAGGCTACATTTGAGCCGTCACTGAGCGACTTGGGAATCGATGGGAATATCACCTTTCTGGCTTGTACTTCTCTACGTCAGCCCAGTGCCTTTGGTAAGCTCTCTTAGTATACACAGCAAGCTGAAAGCTCTTCTTTCATGGACTTTTAGGTAGAATGTATATCTGAACACAACCATTCAAGGAATGGTTTTAGATAACCCAAATGTTAGGGGGATGGTGAGTAAACACTAGTGCTGTTACATTTTATTTTATTCTTTATTTTATTCCTGTATTTTGTTATTTTCCATCACCATTTATCCCCCTATACCATCTTACACCTCCCCCTCCCCCACATACAATCACCACACTGTGGTCTGTGTCCATGAATTCTCTTTTTTTGCTCAATCCCTCAACCCCCTCTCACCCCACTCCCATCAGAGCTGTGTGCCTGTTCTCTGAGTCTGTTTCTATAGTTTCCATGGGGTCCTCTGTCAATGACTTCAGATAGGAGTGGTCTCTGCAGGGGATGAGCTGGTACCTCTGAAACTGCAGATTGACTGTGTTAGACAAGGCATGAGCAGCAAGGCTGTCTGCCCCCGGGCTGCATTGATCTCACTCCAGCTCACAGGGACAGTGGGGATGCAGCCCAACCTGAAGCTATTGATGACAGCCACGGGGCCATCACAGCAGATCTCAAACATGGCCTTGAAGGCGTTGGTTTTCTTCAGCCAGGCTATCTGTGTCTGGGCGTACCGCAGCCGGTCATCCACGCTCCATAGCTCATAGTTCCAGTTGTTGCCATTGCAGTTCACTGAGGTCCCTGTGGTACTGCCTTTCCTGCTGCTCCAGCATCTCTGTCTGCGCAGGCTGCCTCCAGGGCCACAGCACCCTTTCTCAGTTCTTCTCCACCTCCTCCAGCTCCTGGACCAGCCTTGCTTCCTCCAGCTCCACCTCCTACAGTGTCGCCCTCGTGTCCTCACCTAATCCATCCCTGGTCTCCAAACAGCATTTGTAGTTCTGACTCAGATTCTGAGATCCTGAGCTGGGCGTCCAGCTGCTTCGATACTGTTAGTACAGTCCTGGCACAGGGGGTGGTACAGCTCTTCTTCACTGGATAGGATGTCACAAAGGCCCCTCGTGGCCCTCTGGATGCTACTGAGAGTCCTCCCAGAGGCCAGCTTCCCGAACAGGGTGAAGTTGCTAGGACCATCCCCAGACATCTCGCCATCACCAGGGATGGTCCATCCAGAGGCTCTATCCTGGAGTTCTTCAATGTCTATCTCCATCCTGGAGGCAGAGCCTTTCTCCAGAGTATCTCCAAGTTCCTGCTGAGCTGAGGGGAGCTTCAAAGCTGCAGGTTCTTGGCTGAGGTCAAGGCCTGAGGTCTCCGTGGACTGAGTCAGCTTCAGGGGCCGGCAGCAGACATGGCAAATGAAGCGGATGGAGGACATGGTGGAGATCTTGACTTTCACCATTGACTAAGTTTCCTCTGGCTCTTGTGTTAATTCTCCATTTATACTTTGTAAGGGCCTTTGGGAGTGAGTTTTAAAATGCATATCTCATTTCTCACTCTCCCTCCTCAAACCTTACCCTTCTTAGATACCTGTGTACTCCCCTTAGCTGTTTTAGTCAAGTGAGTCTTTCTCAAAGGAAAATCCAATCATCTCACTTTCTTTAACATTTTTAGGGCATATCTTAAGATTAATCTTTCTACACTTGATCTTAGCCAAAAGGCCCAGAACTGAGGGCAATCGTCATAAAACTAAAATCTAATCATGGTACTTTCTTCTTTAAAACATTTAATGTCCTTATGTTACCTTAAGATAAAATCTTAATATCTTAACCTGATACCAAGGTCTCTGCCCATGTTTCCAGTTTCTCTCCCCATTTCTTTTTTTTTTTTTAATATTTTTATTGATTTCAGAAAGGAAATGAGAGGGAGAGAGAAAGAAACATCAATGATGAGAGAGAATCACCAGTCGGCCACCTCCCACACACTCCCCACCAGGGACCAAGCCTGCAACCCCGGCATGTTCCCTGACCGTGAATCCAACAGTGACCTCCTGGTTCATAGGTCGACACTCAACTGCTGAGCCACACCGGCTGGGCCACACTTTATTTTTTTGGTTAACCCTCACCTGAGGATATTTTTCTAATTATTTTCAGAGAGTGGAAGGGAGAGGGAAAGACAGAGAGAAACATCGATGTAATAGAGACACATTGATTGGCTACCTCCCGCACGTGCCCCAACTGCGGGAGGGATCCAGCCTGCAACTGAGGCATCTGCCTGGAAATTGAACCTGGGACCCTTCAATACATAGGCCCATGCTCTATCCACTGAGCCAAACCAGCTAGGGCAGGGAACAGACTTTCTGCTGGCCACCCCCCCTTTTTTTTCCCTGCAAAAAGTTTTATTGTCTCCATTTGGTCCAAATGCATGGGAGAGGGCTTCAGGGTTGTTAAAAGAATGGCAACCTTTAGCTGGTTTGGCTTAGTGGATAGAGTGTCAGCCTGCAGACTGAAGGGTCCCGGGTTTGATTCTGGTCCAGGGCACGTACCTGGGTTGTGGGCTCGATCCCCAGGGTGTGTGGGGGGCGGGGGAGGGAGTCGTGCAGGAAGCAGCCGACTAACGATTCTCTCTCATCATCAATGCTTCTCTCCCTCTCCCTTCCTCTCTGAAACCAACAAAAATACATTTAAAAAAATAAAAAAGAATGGCTAGTCATTTTGGGGAGAGGCTCAGGCAAAAGCCAGACACCAAGGGATGAACAGGGGTCCTTCAGATGCCTCTGGGCTCCACAGGCTCCTAGTCGTGCTTGAGGGTGAGCCTTGCGAAGATATACTCACCCAGCCTGGGGGCCAGCAGCCATGGAGGTGAATCAGGTGTGGCCCATCTTCCTGATGAGTTTCACCTCCTCGCCCAGGAAGTGGTTCTGCAGGAAGTTACAGAGATGAGGGTGTTCCAGTAGAACCAGGGCCTGCAGCTCCAAAGGGCCTGGTTCAGGTTCCTCTCCAACGCCATGGCAACTTCCATGGTGTCCTGAGTGTCAGCCTGCTCATCCTGGGAGGCTTCAGCACATCCTGGAGAGAATGCGGCCACCATGCTGGTTTTGTATCTTTAAGAAGCTCAGCGCCCTTGAGCTTCTTCTCCACCAACTCGAGGAAGAAGTGGCCCACGCCCCTCAGAGCCACATCCTAGTGGTGGAAACAGAAGCCCAGAGAGAGGTAGGTGTGGAGCCTGCAGAGGCAGGATGGCCAGGCAGGTGACGGGGCCTCCACCTCGGTGGTGGGAGGTGTTGTTACATTTTAAAGGGAAGCTTTACTTTGTTCATTCTCTATGACTTCTTTTCAAAAATACACAAATTTACAGAATTGTTTCTACCAATTAAAGGGCCCCAATCACAAACCAAAGCAACCAAAGCTGATCACGAAGGCACGTACATCACTGGTAATTCTGTGTAGGAAACAAAAGGAGGAATAAATATAGGTCTGCTTACCGCAAGCTCATCTCATGTCAACTCATGGCTTCGTGACACAAAAAACAGCATATAGGTCAAAAATGCCTTGGAAAAATACACATTCTTTAAATATAAAATATGTGGCTCTTACTCCAGTCAGCACCATCTTTATATTAATGCCTGTATGTGTTACATTCACACTATGTAGGAGGCAGCAAGCTGAAAGTAAGGCATGTGAGTCAGACCCATGAGGCTGAGGATCCATTTCAGGCCCTGGGAAGGTTACTTAATCTTTTTGAATCTCAGTTTTCTCACTGGCAAAATGAGAAATTTGTTCACGTAAAAGTCTTGGCATTCTGCTTGCTGCATGATGGGCATTCGGTAAATGTTAGTCTACTTTTTCTTTTCAATCCCTGTCAAAATAAACTAGTGGAGACATGATTTTGGAAATCCTCATTAACTACTCATTTTTTTTCCATACCCAACAATAGCACTCTTACCCTTAGGTCTCCTGGTGGGCGTATCTCAACTTTATTATAAAATTGTAACAGAGAGAGACGCTGCCAGAGGACCAGTGTGAAGGAAGGCCTCAAGAGAGACTGTTGGTCTCATCTGAGAAGAAAAGGAAAATCAGTCAAGGGCAAAGTTGGGGAGAGAGGAAGAAACCAAGACACATGTCTTTCCCCTTTGTGATGTCAGTCAGCTTTCCAAAGGCAGGGCCTTTCCATCTTTCATTATCAAAACTGGGGTGCGTTTCTAAGTACAAAAGGACAGGGAGAAATACCAAGTCAGATGCGATGCTGGGAGAACTGACATACACCTGGACCGTCCGGAGCAGACAAGGACATATGGTTACTTTGTCTATACGAAGCCCGCGGGCCTCAAGCAGCGTGGTGTCACATAGACCTCGGCCAGAATCCCCACTGGGTGCCTAAAGGTTAAACACACCATGATCACTTATGCAACTTCCCCGAGCCTCAACTTATGTATTCATGGAAAGGGGTTCATGAAAGCTATGCCTCAGGGCTGTTCTCATGATCAAAAAAATAACATCTCAAGTACTAGTACAAGCTGGTGTGTAATAAATAGGGATTGTTATTTTAAATGCATGAGGTGTACGAAAGCCTGCATGGACAGGGCCTGAGAAAAAGGGCCCAAAGGGAGAGAATGTTCCCTCTCACTGACTTCAACTTTACAGAGGTTGGAACCTGAGGCAGTGGGATAGAGAGAGGACATTTACCAGCATCTTATGCTCAGTGCTGTTAATAATTTGGGACTTTGTTAGCTACCTTTACTAAGTATTTTTGCCAGTTATGTTATTGTCATGTATTTTTATCTAATCAGTAACATGTTTATCTAAAAAACTGGATAAAACAGGGATCAAGAGGAAGTAGATGTGTTTGGGGAAAGAACATTAGCCAAACGTGTGGGTGCTGGCAGTCAATTTGCACAGGGCAGGAAAGCTCAGCTGCAAAGGTTTGGGGTAAATTGGTTCTCCTTCCCCGATAGGTATAACTGGCTATGCAGGTTCTGGAGCTTCCTGCCGAGGAGGAGAGCAGCAATCCCTTCCTTTGCCCATCTCTCCCTCCCTGAGGAAGAAAGCTTTCCATCTATAGATAAATAAGCACACACATCGCACACATACATACATGATTC